AATGAAGAGGTGTGGCAGGTTTACTTTTGCTTCTTTATTTACTTTCCAAATTGCGGAAGCTGTTTGATCTCCCAAAAAGATCCTTATTTTGCTACAGTATGCTGTCCCTGATAAAAATTACTATATACAACATATAATTTAATGTTAGCATGCATTGCAATCCTCAAATTAAACAGACAATCCTAATTCTACTATTTAAATATCCGGATTTTAAAAAAGGACAAAAATAAAGGACAAAACCAACAAAAAAATATTATCTCTGCAATAAATATAAGGGAAGTAAGACTCTTATCCTGATGTGTATTGAAGTTTGTCCCTGCACACATGATGTTACGTGGTTGCGGTCTACTGGTTGGAAATATGACTGTGACTGTGTATAAATGTGAATGTCCTCTGATTTGTAATGAAAATATAGATCCACTACTACTTCAGCATTTCTACAGTTTGCACAGCCCTAAATTCACAAATATCTTGGCCAAATCCTAAAATCTCACAGATATGATTTGGATTTAAGCATGGACTTAAAATTCAGCAACTGTTTAAAGTCTTTTCCTGCACAATGACGCCTTTGAATCCTGTACTTGAAGCTTTACAGTCCTGTCTTCAGCCTTGCAGCCCCCTCAAGGCAGAATGGGAGGGCATGACTCCATAACTGCTGCCGTATGAAAACAGGCGAGGCACTGCACAGATCCAAGCAGTGAGGAAGGCTGTGCTATCCCCTCTATTACTGATCCTTTTCTTTTCCTTTTAAGGAAAGGAGTAATAACTGGACCAACATAGACAAACACTACTTCAGGGAGAGAGATCCACTCTCAGACACAGGTTGCATAGGAAAATCTGCTAACTGTGTGATTAAACAATTAATATGGACCATTTTACTTCTGGCCTGATGCCCACACAACAATCCATACTCTTCCTTCTTTTCCTTGCCAACCCACTGGGCATATTCTAGTTTCCCAAGTTGCTGACTGAATTTGAGGAGAGCAAGAGGTTGATCTTTTATATCTAAGTGTCACAGAAATAGTTCCTTCCAATCTTTGAATTTCCTTCCCAAATTACTTTCCACCTACAGACAAGGAAAAGCAAGGTTTAAATCCAGTTTAGTCATGAACTTTCTGAAAATGTCACCTTGTCAAAGTCTCTTATTCCTTGGCCTCTCCACTTAAAAATAGAAGCATTTTTCCTCCGAGTAGGGTTCAAACCCATTCCATCACCCTTTGACAGTAAGATGTTATATTAACTTCCAGCTCCACAAAGGCATCAGTGTGCAGGCTTTGATGCTGGACAACTCGTGTGTGGAGAAATAAGGTTTCAGTTCACCTTTGGGGGTTTTAAATTTCTCTGAACAGTTAACTGAGCAGTTAAACTGCTGGCCACTAAAATACTTGGCAAAGTAGTGTAGGTCATTAAAAAATGAAACCCAGTACAATTTACATAATTCTCTAAAACATTCCTAAAATACTTATTTATATTAATAGATATAGAATATATAGAATCCCCAACAGGATAAACATTAACAGTTCTTATGTGAAACCACCTGTGTAGACTTATCAGTAATATAACCAGCATAATTAAAAAAACAAAAATCTTACAAGATTTATATGAGTGAAACTTTACATTATACTACTGAAAGCCACAACACATAATCAAATGTATTCTGCACAGCATGAATACAATAAAGATGTAATTAGGAAGAATCTTTCATCTCTGTGTTATTCTTAGTTTGCAAATGTGACTTTTTGGGGTTTTTTTTTTTTGGTAAGAAAACACTATTTTAAGCACTATTAAAAAGTCAATCCAGACTCTCATTCTGCATCATTCCCATTGCATCATCTGCACAGTACTTCTTGTACCCAGCAAGAATTTAAAGCCTCCATATTCCTGACTGGAAATAGCACATAACCCTGGCAGAGCCTTTTATAAGTCAATGAAAGACAAGATTGTGCTCTCACAAAAGAATTCAACAATTGGGTTTTGGCTACTGAAGCCAGGAGACAAAGAGAGTACTATGCCCTGACCAGTCCTATCAGCTTGCCTCGCATCTTCTTTTGCTGATGCATCATGTCCTGCAGCATACGCTTTAAATGTTTGAACCAGCTGGTGCACCTAAGTTAAATGATATGGTAGGAAAAAAAATCTCTTCACAGGCTAATATATAGATATATACGAAAGTATAACTGTTGTCTGTGAAGTCACTTATTGTTCCCGTTTCCTGTTGCTCTAAAGCTTATTGCTTATCTGATTGCTAACAACTTAAATTTTTCATCACATTGAATTAGAACTGGTTATTTTTTCTCTTTTGTAAGACAAGAACAAGGTACTTAATTGATGAAACTATATGTGGTGAATTGAAAACTGATAAAAGACAGTATTTTCTCTTATGTTACAATGTCAGCCTGTGGAACTCTGACCTGAAACTTTGATCAAAGCAGGGAATGTAAAATTCAGAAAGCCAACAGACATTTTTCCAGGTATCTAATCCCTCCAGATATATAATAATTGATAAGAAGACATAACTGTAAGGAATTGTAAACCTCACAGTTTATGCTTGAAACTAATCTCAAGCAGCTCATCAGGAACAGTATTAATAGTTCCACCTTGATGGTGGGCATGATCTCAGGCTCCTGGACCTAACTGCCTGTATGGTCGCAGTGCGAGGCTGACCCCAGTGCTGCTTAGGCCGCTTCTCTGAAACTTTCCTGCGCACAGCTCGGCAGCCAGCACAGGTCAAGGATCATTCCCAACACACAACCCTAGTTTTTATAACCATGTGCATTTGGGATGCGGCAAGAGCTGGCCCCTGAGGCAGAGAACAGACCTGGGCACGTCTCATTTACTGGAACACAGGCGGCCAGTGCATGTGTGGGAAAGAGAAAGCAGCTTTTGTGTGAGGCAGAGCATGAGGCCCTATCTTGTGTATTTTACATAGGAACCAATAGAGCAGTTCTGGCTAGTTTTGGTGATTCAAACACTACATGTAAATCTGGGAGAAACAGGTGGTAGTACATCCTGTTTCTTACAGGATAATCAAAATTATCTTTCAGGATACACTTGAGGTCAGTAACAGTAATAACGTACCAAAAAAATCAGGAAGAATAAAGCTTAATTTTCAAATCTGAGGTTAAGATTAGAAAAGCAGAAGTAAGAATAGTAAATTACTGATTCAGGAAGCATTTACCACGAATGCAGGTAGTAACCAGCAGAAATCTTTTCACTAAAACGAAGACAGCAGAAGTTGATCTGCACTTCCTTATAACACAATTGTGTAACATGGTTCTACACTGAGAGAGATTTTCTTACGTATTTTCTCACAAATAAATATGTAAACCACAGCATGATTCTTAATCCTTTTTGTAATGGACACAGATGGACTGGAACTTTATACCAATTTAGGGTGTACCATTCAAATGCAGGCTGTTGAGTCTTTGGACATGACATTTTAGGGAACTGAGTTCTTAACTTCTCAAGACTATCATCCTAACCAGCCCTCAAACCGAGTCATCCAAGTATTGACATTGTTGGCATTTGTTATATGCCAGATCTCCAAAATGTTATTAGAGTCCTTGAAATACCAAAGCTGATGTTCTTCACTCTCTCAGAGTGGAATGCTAGTACAATACAGAGACCATTAAAAATTCAGTTTGTTTCCAGATATCCCATACCACCCCCAGACCCCATTTTATGCTGGAATTCAGTGGCTATTTATTTCTGTTGGGTTACCCTTACCACTAAAAGCTCTGACCCCTCTTGATCACTCTAGCACAAATATCCTGACAGCAACTGACTTTATCACAGTAGTGACTCCAGCAGGTTTTGATTGATCTGGGAAATTGAGGGAACTAGCTACAATAGAAGAAAATATGTTCAGAGCCAGGGTGGGGGCCCTGCACTGCCTGTTTCCCCTTAGTTGTTTGGTTTTGTGCCAATGAAAATGGAAGTGGAAACAAACACACTGACTGGGTAAATCTGCCCTGACCCATATGAGTGGAGTTCACACTGTAGACAAAGTTATGGATTTCCCCCAGAGGGAGGGGGTAATGTGAAAATCCTGTGTTACACCCATTGTAACTTAAGAATATTTTCATTGGCATTCCTGTGATAATCTTATAAAAATAACAGAATTGACTTGCTAGTTTTGGCCCGCATTTTATTTTTTTTCCACAAAGTAGCAGAAGTTTGGGACAAAGAGTGGTATTGACCATTCAGTTTAGGTATGCTGGTTTAAAAAGTATTAACTAGTAAGTATACGGACTAGTACAATATGTCAGTAAAGAGAAGATTATATTAGGAAAGGGATAGGCTGGGAACAGGTGATTTTTTTTTTTTGTGAGGTTGCCGAGTACATCATAATGGTTTCAAACTGAGATCCACATATCACACTCCCTCACAAATCATGCTGAGATTTACAAGAGGAATGGTCATCACAAATGTTGCATTTTTGTCTACTCCAGCAAGACGTTCTAGCTGCTGGGTTCTAGCTATTCAGCTGCTGCATTTTTACAAAGAGGATCACATCCTCAGCTGGAGTAAATCCATGAGTGCAGTTAGCTTCAACCCCACTACACCAGGCTGTACAAGCTGAAGAGCTGTATGGCAGTGGGGTTGGAACTAGATGATCTTTAAGGTCCCTTCCAACCCTAGCCATTCTATAATTCTATGGGTAAATAATGTATTGAGTATCATTCATGCAAGCGTCATGCTTGCCTGGGAGGTGGTTGAAAAAATGAATGAGAAAACAGCTGACAATCTTTTAGTGAGCTGTGGTTTGTAGGAATTTGAGATCCCACCAAATGGCATAAACACCGGTTAAAATAATGTTGTATCTGGGCACAGGTCATGTTCTTAGTAAAACTTAGTCATACAGATGCATACAAGAGACACATTCCCTCTACATATACTTTGGACACAGACTAAATAAATTGTTAGGATGAAATTTCTGAGTAACAGAATATTTTCTGCAGTGAAAGTAGAAAATACTGCCTCTTCACTGGGTGCTTTACCCAACAAATCCAACACACACCCAATATCCAAAGCGGTTTCCATTTGACCCATGACGTGTTCAATGTCTTTTTGTTGCTTATAAGAGGACAGTTCAACTGCAGAGTTTTCTTTCCCAGGCTGCATTGTTGGAATGCCTTTTCTGGCTGCTACTACCAGTATTCACAATAAGCATAATTTTAACTCTTCTGAAGGCCTCTAGAAAACACAAGGTAGGGTGGTTATTGTACTGCTAATCAGTGATATTCTTCAACCTTTGTGTGCTCATAGGTGAAATTTTGGGTTTAGAAATTTTTTTTAGATTTTTTTAGCTATCCCAGAAAATCTGCTAGTAATGACATAGATCTCTTGCAGTGGAGGTTGAAACTATAGTTTGCTGGTGTTTAACAAGGTACAGAAAATATGCACAATTACTTTACACTGGAATTCACTATCATAATACAATACCAGGGCATTCTAGACATACTGGGAAACAGTGATTCAAAAGTAATTTCACACAGAGCCTTTGAATTGTGTTTAGGGTTTTATTACCTGTCCTTTCTATTAGTTTTCAAAGCATCTATTTCAATATGATTTGTGCTACTTATATTTCAGTACTTGAGTGTTTTATGGGTCCTTTCAGTAAACTATTAAAAAATAGATGCTGTCAGTAATGTATCTGTCTCATCTGATCTGCAGAAGGAGCAATCCAAGTAAAAATATTTGTGTTTTAACATCACAAAATAATAAAGTTTTTCTATTACACACAGAAATATCCTCTTCTACCTCATCATAGAAAATCAGTCATGCTTTCACCTTCCAAAGACAACAACATATTCAGTGTTAACACTTATTATTCAATCATTTCTGCCCAGAGTAAACTGAAAAGATGTTCTAAATAATGACATCAGGTATTTTCTTGCATGCTATTAACGGAGGGGTCAGGAGACTGGAAAGGGGTTAGAGCCACTTTGATAATTGAAGGTTTCACATCTCACACTTCATTTAGAGACTCACTGGAAACAGTGAAGTTACACAAGTAAAAGTGAGATTAGAGATTACTTCTCAATAGTTTGCATCGTTAGGAACAGATTAATGCTATGTACAATATCTAATATCTATTTAGGGAGGGAGAAATGTGTACATTTTTTACATTTAGTGTTACTTTGACATGTCTAGCACTGTTTTTTTCTCTCTATTCTTGAACAAGCCATTCATTGTCATTTGAATAATTTCAGTGACACAGCACCTAGAACTGCTTTCTTATTGTGGTGTTTCTGTCAGATAAAAAGATGGAAGGGAATGGCATATCTAGCTCAAAACAGTAATTCCTTCACTGCTGTATTACCAATTTCCACCCCTGGTTCGTTGGTGTATTTCTCCTTCACATAATAGCAGAAAACATTATGAATGCAGACAGTACAGTCTTGTATTAAACTGTCAGGTGTCTCCCTACTGCTGCCATTAATCTTACAATGACTGATCTTTGTGTGACTACACCTGAAACTTCTATTTTTGCCAGTCTGGGCTACGTGTTTTATTTTTCTAATCTCCATTTGATGATACAAAGTTGGGAGGAGTGGCTGACACACCAGAAGACTGTGCCACCATTCAACAAGACCTGGACACACTGGAGAGTTGGGCAGAAAGGAACCTGATGAGGTTCAACAAGAGCAAGTGTAGAGTCCTTCACCTAGGGAGGAATAACCTCATGCATCAGTACAGGTTGGGAGCTGACCTGCTGGAAAGGAGCTCTGTGGAAAAGGACCTGGGTGTGCTGGTGGACAGCAGGCTGGCCATGAGCCAGCAGTGTGCCCTTGGGGCCGGGAAGGCCAACACCGTCCTGGGATGCATTAGAAAGAATGTGGCCAGCAGGTCGAGGGAGGTTCTCCTCCCCCTCTACTCTGCCCTGATGAGGCCACATCTGGAATATTGTGTCCAGTTCTGGGCTCCCCAGTTCAAGAGGGACAGGGATCTTCTAGAAAGAGTCCACTGAAGGGCCACAAAGATGATGAGGGGCCTGGAGCATCTCCCGTATGAGGAGAGGCTGAGAGAGCTGGGACTCTTCAGCCTGGAGAAGGGAAGACTGAGAGGGGATCTTATCAATGTTTATAAATATTTGAAGTGCAGGAGGCAAATGGATGGGGCCAGTCTTTTTTCAGTAGTACCCTGTGACAGAACAAGGGGCAATGGGCAAAGACTGTTACACTGAAAGTTCCATACAAACCTAAGGAAAAACTTATTTACTGTGAGGGTGACAGAACACTGGAATAGGCTGCCCAGAGAGGTTGTGGAGTCTCCATCTTTGGAGATGTTCAAAACCTGCCTGAATGCAGTCCTGTGCAACCTGTTGTAGGGAACCTGCTTTGGCGGGGGGATGGACTAGATGATCTCCTGAGGTCCCTTCCAACCCCTACCATTCTGTGATTCAGTTCAACAGCTTTAGCCACTGAACTCCCACTGCAATCAATCAAGAAGTGTCCCTACACATTCCAGTGCTTTTTTCAACTCTAACAGCTTTTTCTACCAGTTCCCTAGAAAAGAATATTCCATGGAGCAATGGACTTCCAAGTCAGGAATTTGATTCTGATCAGGCATGTATTTAATTCCTTCAAGATGCACAGTGTGTGCCCCACTTCTCTTTTTGCATCTTGCAAAGAATCACTGAAAGCAAGAAAACAAATTCACAATTATCAAATCAGAAATAAATAACTGATCTAACTGTCTTTCTTGTCAACTACAACCACTTAACACATAAAAACCAGAAAATATTCTCTTTTAGTAAGGAAACTATGATAGGTTTAACTAAGTTTGGCTTTAAAACCTCACAGTTCGATTTCAAAATACTTTATGTCTTGGTTTTATTATTTGTCTACTCCACACCTTAACGAACAGGTTTCCAGATATCAATGTGATATTTTTAATGTCTGCTACAAAGCTAAACAAGTTTACATGTTCAGAACATGTATTACATTTAATTATGCAACACTGGACCACTTCAGTTCTCAGATACCAGGAGAATTAAATTCTTCACTGAAAGAGGAATTCTGAAAATAGACTTACAACTTCTTGTTTCCCTAACTCGAAATCAGCAAGTTATTGAGGTTATTACAAGAACAAAACTGCTTTCTTAGTCTTTAACAGAACTTGCTTCATATGAAGGAACTTTATTTTCTGCAATGGGTCTGCAGTCATCAGCATTATTTGGAAACAACATCTACAGCACTTGCTGCTTAATGGAAACTGCAGAGTTTTACAATTGACTTGCTCTGTAATTTCTGAAACCAGACCAAGCCAATCAACCAAAGGAAACCTCTTTCATGAATCTGTTATTTACATACAAAGCAGACAGGAAAGAGGTATTTTGTTAGCTCTGGAGACACAGTTTAAGGAGGTTTTAAAAGATTAGGAAGCATAATGACAGGTGCACAGTGTTCCTTGAAATGAGACGGGAAGTGAGTATGAGACAGAATTTTATGGCATCATCCTTCTATAAAACTAAATGGACAAACTGTTCTCTCTTAATAATGACTATACACTAATATTTATAACCAAGTACTGTACCTTTACTTGACCTTTAACACATTGTACTGCATTAATTGCCTTAACTATTCAATTAATGACAGCCAAGCCCTGGGTTACTCCCATATTCCTTCTGTCTGAGGTTATTTTTTAAAATATTTTCCTGAAATATTAAAACTCTGCAGTTGTTTTGTATCCAACAAAGCTCTGAAGTTCAAGTAAGCCAACGTGTGTCATCATCTCAAAATTTATCATCCTCACCCTTTAATTTTTCAGCTAATCTTTCTAGCAAAATCCACCCTCAGAGAACACCAATGATATGTAAAATAAAATGGGCTTAATAGAAAGAGCAAATACAAAAGATACACTAATCAAACTCTAATATTGAACACCTGACTCTTTGAAACGCCGAGTGTTTACAATTCCCACTGCTTTCACATTACTTACCTTTGATTATAGTTTTTAATCGCAATTACTCTGATCCTGTAAATACTCAAAATCTTAGAAGTTCATGATACGATAACTTTTGAGCTAGCATTTGAACAAGCAATCGTGCAAGCCCAGAGATGTAAACATACCAGCACAGAGAGTATAAGCATACTTCTCAAAAACAGGGAGGGGTATTTTGTCTCCTGAATGCAGATGTAATTTGCAGTAATAGTCAACTAGAAGAGTTTGAAGCACACAGTTAAAAGACAGTATGTTTTTACCCATGACTACAAGTTTGTGATTACGCAGTTAACTGCAAAGCTTAGAGGGAGAAGGCAATAAAAATATCTCAGTGTCATGACTCAGAATGATTAACAGGAAAACAATTTGACATGTGTGGTAATTATAAAAAAGCAACAAAATATACAGCATATACCAACTGCTGTGGCACACACCATTATGTTACCAGTATGACCATTCACAATGCACTAAGTAGAGCAGCAAGGTATTTAAACTTACCTCATACAATAAACAGAATAAAGCAGTGTTCTTGGGTTTCTTTTTTCTTTGCCTAACTTCTTCACATATGCTGTGTAAACTATTAAACTGCAAACTGTAAACTAGGTTCATAAATGAACCTATCAATGACTTATCTCAGTTCTTTTAGGACTTATCTCAATGATCATTTCCCTGTATTAAAAATTCATTTCAAGGGCTAATGAAGCATATCAGTAAAGTGTTCAAAAGCAGTCCGAGGAGACTGGTGTGAATAGTGTCTGTCTCCCATACCTGCATCCTATAATCCTGTCAAGTACAAAGTTAGGGTGAACTCTATTCACTATTGTCCATCCAGATGTTCTAGATATTTTATCAGAAGCCCAGATAAACACCTAAAAACAGGAATTCAGGGTAACAAATTTCAAGTTTTGAAGAAGAAGATATGTTTAAATGTATTAAACAAATAACATACATAAAATATATCTAATTCTCTTTATTTTACTTTGAGATTCTATGCTTAGTAGAAGCTTTTCTCCTTTTACGGTCCTTGGCCAGACCACCTAGTTCCAAGCTTCATCCAAAACTCTTAACTCAAAGAAACGTCCTCACTGTTTGCAGTGGGATTTCCATCAAACGCTATGGACTCAAACATTAAAAACTGTAGATGATAATAAAGGAACCTCAGAGCATGATCTGAA